GCATTTCTGATCAGCGCTCTCCTTGTTCGGCCTGCGAGTTCAGGTGGACGGCCTTGTCTTGGTAGGTTTTACAGTTGTGCCATACTCCTTCCATTTCTGAATGATCGCTTGAACAGTGCTCCGTGGGATGTTCAAAGGCTTGGGAAATCTTTTTGTAGCCTTTTGTTCCACTTCTCACGTGTACACCACTTTGTATTGGTCTTTCACGTGGAATTCTAAAAAAATTGATTCATGTTTGTGGCTGTAATGTGACAAAATGTGGAAAAGTTCAAGGGGGCCGAATACTTTTTGCAAGTCACTGTAGCGTAAAAGAGTTAGTAGTGCATTTTATTACTACCTGTAATTTATTGCAGTTTACTTCTATTTGTTTAATTGTTTGCTAAATATTTGAGGTGTGAAATAAACCGCAATGGAGTTTGAAAAGAAAATATGGGTGTGTGTTGTTGGAGGATGTGCTTGTGCAGGCCAGTTTTGCTGCAGAACAAGCGGGAGAAAAATAGTCCTGACTCCCAGGAAGCGGGGGGGGGGGGGGGTGTCATGTGATGCTCTGATGCTGTAAATTCTACTGCTGTTGATTCTTGATCTTGTTTGAGAAAAATAGTGCATACTAGTGATGTTCTTATTACTTATTTGTTTTAAATTTACTTTTGGATGCCTTCTCTCTTCCTCCTATATTATAATTTTGAAGTCTACAGCTTTTGACAGAGTTAATCTCAGAGTTGCATCCAATAGCTCCAATAGCTATCCAGAGGAAAAGCAGCTTTATTACAAACCATTCCACTGTGTAAACCTGAAATCTGTGTTGCACCTGACCTGCACAATGTGCAGAAGAGCACAAAACATTTACCCTCAGATCCTGACTCATCTGGATATTAAAGTTATGCAGTAACCATGTCACATGCCTAAATGTCCATTATTGTTGTTGTTTTATTTCTGTATACCATTCAGTGTTTGGCACCTGTTAATCAGAAATATATACTGTAATATTCAGACACCATTAATTGTCGTATTTTGACAGACATTTCAGTGCTGTGTTAGAAATCTGACAGAGGGAGAAAAACAAACTTCATGACAGTGATTTGTGCTGTTGCAGATCTCTACGATTGTGCTTCATCATCATTGTTTATTACAGACCAATATATGACTAAAAATCTAAAACTGCAAATCCATTTGGTCCAGATGTGTACATTTGTAACTCATGTACCTGTGTTTTTCTTTTTGTAACTGGCTGTGCTGATTTGTTGTTGTTTCTCTTGCTTCCAAAAAGTCAATGATTGTTTAAAAAAATACATTTATTAATAATGTAAATTGCCTGCACCTATCATAGACGTCTACATGACATCCAAAAACATTACCCATTCCAAAGTTCAAATGTTGAACATCTGGCGCCCGCAATGCAGGTATTTCACTGGTAGAGTAAGTTTTCTTGACTTCTATCAGATTAGTGTAAATTTCCTTCTGTGCCCAGACAGAGTCAAATGCACTAGGTAGACATATTCAAATGTATATTGGACTTTGCTAAATATCCTGGGCACCACCCAGTTTCTGTTGCAGCTGTTCATTAAATCTCTTCAATCTTGCAGCTTCCCTTTATGATGGGTCGTTACAAATGGTTTGTTAAGGTGCTGTCAGTGGGTGCAGAGTGCAAGGGTGAGGACCCAAACGCAGGACACAAGGAGACAACTTCAGCAAAACGTGAGTTTTTAATATGGTTATGAACAGAAAGCCCACAATTTACTTTTTTGAGTGTAGTGTGGGGTTATTATTGCACGTTGTTCAGTGGTTTATATGAGTGATAATGCTGTCTGCTCTGCTGTGTCTTAGGTTGTCTGTGCAGTTCTTGTGTCTGAGCAGAAACGAGCTGTATGGAACGAGACCCTTATAATTCCCTCTGCTCTTTTCCAGTAGCACCGTGTGTACATAGAGATCATGGATGAACGTTTTGTCCCTTTGATGCTCTCCTCAGTCTTTATGACTCTTTGCAGAGCCTTCCGTTCTGGTCGCGTGATGTTGCTATACCAAACAGTGATCCCTGCAATGAGGATGCTCTCGATCAGTCCTCTGTAGTCCTGTGTGAGAGGGCAATGGTTCAGGCTGGCTTTCCTGAGCAGGCTAATGAAATAGAGCCTTTGCTGGGCTTTTTTCCACTGTGGTTATGGTGCTAAGAGTCCAGCTTAGGTCTGATGTTACCTGAAAGTAGTTTTGTACTTGTGGGATGAACACAGGCATTACAAGACAATGCCTGCATTATTGCATATCACATGAGAACACACTGTTACAATTAGGGTTAGGGTTTGTTGTTAGGCACAATTGCAAGAAAACAAATCTTTATAAACTACTTGTCATAACAGATTATCAGTACTGATTCTTTTCCCCTTTGTTACCCAGAACACAACACCACTGTTGATTATCATTCTTTGGCGAAGTAAGTATCTATTAATAAACCAAGCTGCATTTTCCACCAGTTAAGTATTTTTCTGTTATGCATTCTTCTTGGTTTTTACTCTTTAGTGGTGGTAAAAAAGTTGAAAACAACATTACTAAGAAGCCACACTTCTACAATGAAGAACACAAGGTGAGACACTTTGTATTTTCAAATCTTTTGTTTTCCGAGTGAGAGACAAGACTTCCCAATAGGATAGGCAGATTCTTATTAGCTGGGATTTTTTGACCTGCCATAATTACAATATGTTGACTTCTTTGAGGCTTGTAACCAGTGTTGTCAAGTTACTTGAAAAAAGTAATTGGTAACTAATTACTGATTAGTTCTCCAAAAAAGTAATCCCTTTACTTTACTGATTAATTATTTTTAAAAGTCATTAGTTACTTAGTTACTGAATAGGTAATAAAACAGTAGACCTTTCAGCCCAATTCTATTTTTTCCTGCATAATGCATCATATAAAATGTAATCAGCCAGGTCCATAAATAAGAAGTGGGAGGCACATTTGACAACTGTTGTAATTCCTACACCGTTCACCTGATTTGGATGTAAATACCCTCAAATAAAAGCTTTCTGCAGTTAAAGCACATCTTGTTCGTTTCATTTGGAATCCATTGTGGTGGTGTATAGAGCCAAAAATGTTAGAATTGTGTCAATGTCCCAATATTTATGAACCTGACTGTAAAAGTCTCTATTATTATTTTATTATTTTTAATGTTTTAATTCTTAAATGTGATCTAACAAAGGTAAAGGGAAAAAATTAACTATGTTTGCTGTTCATATGGCTTGTAATTGGGATGAAGTAAACATCCGTTTAGTAATTTAACATAAAATTGTTTGATAGTGTTAATTTGGAAAGCCAAAACTCTAGCGGGTCCACCAGACCCATGAACACTGGCTGAGTAACAAAAATATGAACACCACACAAGGGTTAACTTTATCCATCAAGCAAAAATTAAATTATATGCCACAGCCTTTGACTTGAAGAAATTTGTTTAACATTTAAACCTATTTTCTGCATATTCCAGCATATAAAATAAAATAAATTAAAATAATTTGTTGTGTTAACACTCACGCTTTCAAATAGATGTAAGTAAAACACAGCAGAAAATAAATAAAATCAAAGACTCAGCTGCACTAAGTCCTGTCGCTCTTAAATCTATTTTCACCTATTTAGCAGGAATGGAGTGAGTGGAGGTTTGCCCATTGCTGTAGCGGTCATATCAGCAGGGGAATCCGGGGATTTCTCTGTGAATTTCACATTCCCGTGGCAGCATGCTCGGTGCTTGCTCAGAAGTTTAGGGGGGGGGGTTTTCGCTGTAAAAAGAAGTTTTCTTCCCACGCAGTGAACAGTGCACGCTAATGTTTTTGTCACTTTTTCTGGAATCAAACTCAAAGTAAGGTCAGTACTTCCACGCTGGTCATACTCTCTCCCGCACTCGATATATTATCCATTGTTGATCTGCACATGTCGTTACCACGAATGTCGCACGCGCTTAAGTCATTGTCATGAGACACTCTGGCAAACAAAATCACTTTTTGGTAACGCAATAAGGCAGCATGCTTATGGGAAAGTAACAGTAATCCAATTACTTTTTTGCAATAGTAATCCCTTACTTTACTCGTTACTTGAAAAAAGTAATCAGATTACAGTAACGCGTTACTAAACGCGTTACCTTCAGTTACTGCTGGTGAGTCAGAAACAGTTCTAGGTTTGTGACATTTTAAAACTGACCTCAAAGTTGGCTACAGCAAAAATAAGAATCATTATTATTGTAGATAAGGATATGAACATTGTGGATGTTCATATCTGCCTCTGCTCAGTTCAGCTAAGTTCCCCTGCTGCTCTTTACAGCAGGCCACCTGCACGAGTCTCCACACATTGCTTTCACACACTAGACTTCACAGCTCCGTATTCCTGACATATATGCGCTGTGTCGGCAGTGGAGACATGTCTTTGCTCATTGGCAAGATCAACAGTATACACACTCACAGTGGTGCTCTGTTAATATTAAGTCAGCCTGAATTCACATTTTAAAGAAAAAGACCTTTGTTTTTTGTGTTGTTTTTTTATTCAGGATGCTTCAGATGCTATAATCATAAGCTCACCTTAAATGTGAAAGAATTTATACCTGCTCCCCGTCAGAAAACCAGGAGCTCCACCAGTCACGTAACCTATCACAGATCACGCTTTTGGCTTTACTTAAAGTTCACAGGTCCTTGACGTTAACAGGGGCAGGCGAGTCCGACTCTGTCGATCAAAAAATGCAGTATAAGACAATCACCCATTGATTGTCTGGCCTTTTAACTGAGTGTCCTAAGTTCTCAACGGAAGGCCAACTCCGGGCTAAAACCTAACCACGCGTCCGCGATTAGGGGTCAGTGCCACCTGCTGAACGAAAACTGCATTCCTAGGGGAATCCCCAGTCATAAACAAGTTTACTCAATATATTATAAGCATCACTGCGAGGTCTCCGCCTCCAGTTTAATTACCTGACGCCCGAAACCGCGTTTCTGCTACTCAATAAAAACCAAATTCCCTACACTACCGATTTACTGTCTGGCATCAAACACTTTAAACCGTATTGTCTTAGACACATATAACCTCTTAACTCAAAATTCACTCCCAGAATAAACAGCAATAAATTTGGTCAGACCAATATGCCCTGTTTTAGAACTAATTACACAAGATCACTATGGACCAACACCAGAAGCCCATACTGAGTGAATATTATTTAATTAAATTTAGTTTTAACTTCCAATATAGCGCCTTTGGATAAACATCAACAGGTGGCACTACTCACCTTTCTTATATCGCCTGGCGTCACTCAGATAAGCTGCTGGCGTTCGTCTCTTTGTCACCTCCAAGAAGCAGCCGCAAGCTCTTCTCCTCCCCACCGGAGTTTCGGCACCAAAAATTGTTGAGATTAGTTCGACTGGTTCAGAGAAGAAAGCAGACTGGATCGAAGTAAAGGTGTCAAAAATAGTGATCTTTATTACACACTTTGCGCAGTCAGTGTGGGAAAGACAATTTGCAATACAATCCTTCGTCGAACGGATCATCCCGTCTCCTTATATTGCCATGATGACATCACAGTTAGATCTTACTGGAAATGATAAGTCTCCCCATAGTCCAAAGTTCTCCTTATACAAACATCGGATGATACTTTTAGAGAAAAACAAGTGTGTGACATGTCATGTTGTGCAGTTCTGTGAGTCCAACTAGAGAACGTCCTGACACGACCTCCCTGTGTAAATAAGTGTGTATGCGAACGTGCGTGTTTACATAACTCTCTATGTGCATGTTCTGATGTAGGCCTGCAAATGAATTAGAACAAGGTCCTGCTGGACCCTCCAGTTATGGACGGTGAATACAATGCTGTGGATACCATTTGAGATGTGATTACAATGATGATAATATGCATACATTAATCTTTACTCAGATTACCATAGATATAAAACAAAGATTATACTGTCATCAGATTCAACAATGATAAATGATTAATCCATAATAGGTCTGATTATAAAATGTCACCATAAAAATACAAAATAAAATATCTCTTTTCCACACCATATAGATTATTGTTATCTTTAGTCCCTGCCAGTATGATCACTTAAAAAAAAAAAAAAAAAACAACAAAAGAGATTTTCTAAAGGCTTGCAATGAGTGCCGGGTACCTAAAATATCATCTTTTGCTGAATATTTCTTTTTTATATTGGGTAGGGGCAAGCTGATCCATTGGTTAATATTCTGTTTACAATGAGTTCCCACAAGTCAGATTTGTAAGACAGTAAAAAGTCAAAAAAAATATACACAACATCAGAAATGAACTCCACTGTCTCACAATTTTAATTGCAAAAAATTCAAATAATACAAAAAATCTGAGTCAATAAAGATCAAATAACTTTCCTTAAATCATCTTGTATTCTGAGTAAAATAGTGTCCAAATCAAGGATGAACATGAGTCACTGACAGTAAGAGAAACAGTCACATAAAGTACTCAGTCGTGTATGATTCTTTAGGGAATTCCCTGACCAACATTATTATATAATGTGTCTTCTATCGCATGCCTGTCTTCAGGATTGACTTTCTGTAAAGTGCAATGTTTTAATAATATTATTGAAACTGTTCTAAGAATTATCACCTGCACTTCTATCAAAACAATGAATTGTTTTTCTATGTTCCAGATGTGATTATTATTAGTCTACTGAAAAAAGCTCTCTTTGACTTTCACCAATAATGAAAAATTATATAAAAATGTTCTTAAATATAATCAAGCTTTTTTCACCACAAAGAGTGGGTTCAGTGATATTTGTATCATATCACACTGAGATTCAAACTTGTCCGAGGCTTTGATTAGATGCACCAATAGTATTAATTCCAAAATCCTAGATGACTTTGTTTTATTCAGAAAACTTGACCTAGGACCTTGACCTTGAAGTCACTAAGATTTGAACATCTCGAAGATTATTAGTAAATGCACCTCTGCTATCAATTTCAAAATCCTACATCACCTCATTCTTAAGTTATTACATTCCGAAACTCAGGTGTCCACATGCTTACGCAATGGGGTTACAATAGGACCCCATCAACAATTTACAGCCAAGGGGTAAAAAAGAAAGAAGACAACTGAAAACTACACTGGAAGTTTCAGGTCAAGCAATAGTCTGTGGGAAAGCCCAAGTATAAACAAAAGACTTTAAGTGGAACAAGACAGGTTATTATAAAAGGTAAAAATGTAACCAGAGAAGACTAGTGTCAGGGAGCGGATGTGTGCAGGCAGGAGTGGACCCAAACGCAGGACTAACCACACACAGGGATACACTCAAAATAAGGTTTTATCTCACAAAGAAACACAGGGAGAACACGGGGAAGCGCACATAACACTGAGGGAGACTAAAGGGAGAGGGAGATAAATACACAAAGGTAATGAGAGAAGTGGAAGCACAAGGAAACACAGCTGAAAATGCTGACACCAGAGAGAGAGCGAGAGAGAGAGAGAGAGAGAGAGAGAGAGAGAGAGGAAACTCAAAACACTGTTTGAGAGACCCAGGATCCTGACAAATTTATTTATCTTTCATGAAATGAAATCTTGCCCATGTGTCTCTGACGGTGCCATACAGGCAAGTTACTGGAAAATTTAACTGAGCATCAGCCACTATGGTTGTTTACCACTGTACCAAATTAATTGTGAAAAAAAACAAAAAACACCCCCCAAAGCCTGCTACTTGACATTGTGCTAGTCAGACATAGTTTGTCTAATTCTTTTGTTGTCTTGTTTTTCTTCACAAAGGTGTTTAATGATCCCATCCATGGTCACATGGCATTACACCCAGTTCTTGTCAAAATTATAGACACTCCTGAGTTCCAGAGACTACGAAACATCAGGCAACTTGGGGGGATTTATAATGTTTATCCAGGAGCATCTCACAACCGCTTTGAACACTCAATTGGGTATGTCCACTGGTTTTCATACATGAACACCTATTTGTAATAAAAATCCAAAAGAAAGGACAGACTGGGTTATATACTTCACACAAAAAAATGACCGGAGCACTTTTTTAATCAAAGTACAGCATCAAGTCATTAAAAACTCTAGGATATTGATCTGGTTAGTTAAGTGGCAGAGAGGGCTCTTGATCAGTTGAAGTTGCTTTCATATTAATTACATTAACAACAGGCACAATAAAGGGGCAAGAATGACAACCATCAAAAGAGGAATCGATTTACACAACAAGGCAACTGACATTTGTTTTCCTCCCTTTTTCATTAGTTGCATTGGTTAGGGTCAGTGTTCCACTCCATATCAGTATATACACCCAGCATGATTTTTTTTCCTGTTGCGATCTGATGTGTTTCATTGTTCTCTAATTGTTTTGGTTTGTTGTTTTGTTTTGGGGTTTGTTTGGTTTTTTGCAGTGTAGTAGTGTACTAACTGAAAACAGTTTCCTCTATTTTGCAATAAAGAGTGGCACATTTAGCAGGTGAGCTTGCAAAAGCTCTGAAGATGAAGCAGGAGAAGCAGATCGAGCAGTTGGAGGAGTTGAAGAAGTTGAACCTGTTGATAAAATTGACGCCTGAGGAGATGAAGAAGTTGATAAAGTTGATGCCTGAGGAGATGGAGAAGTTGCACAACTTAAAGACTGAGGATTCTGAGGAGTTGAATTTGAAGCCTCAGGAGTTGAAGAAGTTCAACGAGTTCAAGGAGTTGAAGTATGAGGATTTGGAGATGTTCGAGAAGTTGAAGAGGTTGGAGAAATTTGACGTTAATGAGTTGGAGGAGTTGGAAACTTATAATACTGAGAAGTTAATCGAGTTTGAGAAGAAGACGTCTGAGGAGTTGGACGAGTTTAAAAAGCATCATCTTGAGTTGTTTAAGAAGTTGAACAAGTTTAAGAAGTTGAGGCCGGAGAATGTGAAGAAATTTAAGAAGTTGATGAAATTTAAGCCTAATGAGTTGGAGAAGATGAAGAAATCGCTCATCAGTGACCGAGATGTCCTCTGTGTGGAGATTGCCGGTCTTTGTCATGACTTAGGTAAGTAATACAAGCATTTTGTATATCACAAATATTATATTGCAGATGGCCATCATAGGGTGTGATTAAACATGAAAATAAAATTAAACTATCCCCATGTCAAGTACTATGTTGACCTTGACCACTGATGTGGCTAAAACTAACACATTCTTAAATGAAAGCAGAAAATAAAACCCATGTGTTTCACAGGATGAACATTTAATAGAATGAATTAAGATATACACTATACCAGCGGTCTCCAACCTATTTTGCGCCACGGACCGGTTTATGCCTGACAATATTTTCACGGACTGGCCTTTAATGTGTCGCGGATAAATACAACAAAATAAAACTAGTACCGGTGCCAAGATTTATTCATAACACACGTGAAAAGACCCAGGAAAACCGAGTTAACGATCAAAACGATAACAAAATAACGCTGAAAACCAATAAAAACCCTGAAAACCATACATTTCACACCTGAGCCTCAACTCTCGCGGCCCAGTACCAAACGACTCACAGACCGGTACCAGTCCGAGGCCCGGGGGTTGGGGACCGCTGCACTATACTGTTTACTGCACTGTATTCACGTCTATGGAAGTGTCTGTCTATACTAGTCAATGTGCAATGCCAGATAAGAAGGTATAGAAAATAACCCCATTGTTCATATCATATGTTTATTTTGTCATATAAAGGACATGGGCCCTATTCTCATTTTTATGATGGGATGTTTATGGAAGCAATCAGAGAAAAAAAAGGCAAAGAATTCGATGGGAAATGGGAGGTAAGAGTTTGAAATAATAATGGAAACACATATACAACTTAAAAGAATAAATAAATTAAACCACAGTAATCAATTATCTGAGATTTAGAGGTAACTGGTTCTAAACTTTGCAGTAGTCTTTACCACTTAAGAAGGTAAGAACCACTTACTTATGGTTCTTAGTTTCTGTAATAATTTTGGAGTTTTGAGTTTAGCTTTTCCCTGCTACTCAGTGTTTAAGGTTTAGATTTTTAGTTATTTGAATTGTATGGAGTTGATTAAATATGGAGAGAAATATGCCTCAAAAGTGTTGCAATACATACAATATGATCCACAATCCACACATAAATCTGAAGCAGTACATCTAAATCTACATAAATACTGATAATATACCAGAAAAATAGAAGGCAGGAGGATCAACCAGCAGTACTCTACTGCACCATCCAAGATGTACTTTCAGTGGAAGGGGAGCAATATGAGAACAGCACCACCAAGGCTGGAGACAGAGCAATACTGGAAGAGCATATGGGAGAAGGATGCAACACATAACAACAATGTCAGTGGCTACTGGATCTAAGGGCAGATCACAGCAACCTCCATGAACAGGCCCCAGTAACCATCACAGTAGCAGACATCCAAGAAAGGGTCTCCAGTATGAAGAGTTGGACAGCACCAGACCCCAACATGGTTCATGCCTACTGGCTGAAGAAGCTGACTGCACTCCATGAGCATCTGGCAGTACAAATGAACAGGCTGCTATTGGATGAAGCACACCCAGAATCACTAACTGAAGGCCAGTTAGTCCTGATCCCCAAGGACCCGCAGAAGGAAACAGTCCCATCAAACTACATGCCAATAACGTACCTCAGTACCAAAAGGAAGCTCCTACCAGGCATCGTAACAGTTAAAATGAACAGGCACGTGGCTCAATACATGAGCAGGGCACAGAAATGAATTGACAGGAATACCAGAGGAGCAAAACACCAGCTACTGGTGGTGTATCACTTTGAATTCTATAGCACATTGGCTTTATAAAGCAAAGTGGGACAGTTTTTTAAATGTAAAAAAAAAAAAGAAAAAAAAAAAGAAACATTATAATAATATATATACATATATAGGTGATGATATCCCCCCCCTGACCTGGCGTCCTGACTCCTCCTTGCCGTAGCATTTGTGTTGTACCTCGTCAATCACCTGACGCGGACCTTGTTGATCCGGGCGGTAGGCTCGCCTAGCATAGGGGGTCTAGCCTTAGGACCCTT